GCTCTAATATTAATTCTTCTTGGTTCTTTCGTGAAAGGTTTGGCGGTTTGTTCAATTGATAATTTTTTTTCTTTTCCTTTCTTTTTGTGTGTCTTTTACAAATTAAATTCCTTTTTTTTAGGATGGTTCGTTTTGAGGATTTTGTGAGCATCATATACAGGTATTATTGTATTTATTTTATGTTATCCTTATATATTAATAAGCTGTATTCTCAACTGTATTAAATCGCTTAATATCTGTAACAGTGACAATCTCGTGCCTTTTCTTAAATGTTATATATATATATATATATATATATATATATATATATATATATATATATATATATATATATATATATATATATATATATGTATATATATATATATATACATATATATATATATATATATATATATATATATATATATATATATATATATATATATATATATATATATATATCACACAGATATTTCACTAAATTGTCCACTTCTCATTCTCTTTTTCAACCTTTTTATTACACATTTTATCAAGACTTCCTCTACTCCCCAGGTCTTTTAACCGCCAGTACTTACCCCAACCGTCTTTTCCTTATCATTTACCCCAATATCCTCAGTTCTTCACTCTCGCATTCTCTCCCCTCTTTTACCCCTCTCTTCTGCTTCTTCCAGTTACATCCCCCGCACCCCCAACCCCCCATCGCTCCACCTACCCACACTTCTTCCCGATCCTCCGTCGTCCACTTATAATATGACGCCCATATCTAACCCCCCCACCCACTCCTATACCCCTCTCCCTCCTACCATCCCCACCTGGTACCCATGCATCTCTACCTCATTTATGCTTTTGCCTAACTTATTTCCCTACCTCCCCTCTCCCTATCTCCACCATCGGGTCCTCTCGAATACTCTTACCTTACACCCCACCCCCCTTACCTACTCCCTTACAGGCCTCCCCTAACCTCCCGCATGTTACCCTAAATACCCCAATCTTACACACCCTAACCTATTCCCTTATCCCCCCTTCCCCCTTCCTCCTCCACCGTATCCCCTCACATCTCCCTAACGTCTCCCCCTTTCCCCCCTCCCCTTTATCCTGCCTTCCCTCACACTCCTCTCCCACCAAACACCATTACCCTAACACCTCCGTAACCCAACCCCCTTACCTTTCTCAACTAATTCCTTTACCTGTTCTCCTACCTTATACTTCCCCTAACCTCCCCCCCTCCCCCGTACCTTACCTTCACCCCCCTCCTAACTCCTCTATCCGGTCCCCTGAAAACACCCCTACCTCATACCTCCCCCCCCCCAAACTCCCATACCTCCTAATACCTCCCCTAACCTATCCCCCCTTCCCTTCCCTCCCTACCTTACCTTTACCTTCCCTCCCCTACCTCACCCTTACCCTCCCCCCCTTTCCCCTCCCCTAGCAAGCACATCCTCACACTTACCGAGAAATGGAGAAAGGCTCAGAAGCCATTGTTTGGCTTCGAGATTAGGTGAGTTAGGGCAAGTCTGCTCTGTTTACGGGGCTGCGGTAAACAGATTGTGTCGAAAGGCGAAGGAGTAAACAGTTTGGGGTTTTGACAGGGTGGGTGAGGGAAGGGGGAGGGGGAAGGGGGAGGGGAAGGGGGAGGGGAAGGGGGGTGGGAGAGAGGAAGGGGAGGGGAAGTAGGAAGGGGGAAAGGAGGAAGGGGAGAGGGTGTGGAGGTGGATGGGAGGGGGAGGGGAGAGTGGGCTGGGGTGGCAAAGGGTGGGAGGGGGAGGGGGTTGGAAGGGGGGTGATAGGAGATGGGAGGGTGGAGGGCGGATTTCTATAAAGGACACACACATGCAGCTTGGCTTTTTGCCTTTGAAGGTGAGGGCCTTGGAGGGGGAGGGGGGAGGGGGAGAGAAGGACGCTTGGACAGGCGAGGGGTTAGGTGGGGTTAGGTGTGGGGGGGGGAGTGTGAGTGCACTTGCTTTTATATTGCATTGCTTCGACATATTGGTCCTGCTTGCTTTGTTTATTTTACTCTGCTTGCACGTTGATCTTAACCCATTTTGTTTACTCTGCTTGCTTTAACATACATACTTTTCCTCTCTCTTTTTTTCCCCTTTCTTTTTTTTTCCCCAACGGTTTGCTTTACCTTTCTTGTTTACCTTTGTTTTCCCCCGTTCGCTCGCTTGCTTGTTTGCCTGTTTCCGGCTGCTTGCCCCGTGTTTGTCATCCAGCGAGGCAGTTGTGAGCACACACCTTGGTCGCGTATTTGTGTCTTTAACTACAGGAGGGCTGAATACCGTGCGCCCAAGCATATGCTAATAATGTTCTAATACACACTGGGTTCATGAGTGTAGGGAGGGGAATGGAGGGGTAGAAGGGGAGGAAGGGAGAGGGAGGGGGAGGGAAGGGGGGTAAAAGGGTAGGAGGGAAGGAAAGGGAGGAAGGGAAGAGCGGGAGGGGGGGATAACAGAGGGAAGGAGGGAGGAAGTGCGAAGACGGCGAGAGAGCAAGCGAGAGAGAGAGAGAAAGAAAGAAAGAAAGAAAGAGAGAGAGAGCGAGGGAGAGAGAGAGAGAGAGAGAGAGAGAGAGAGAGAGAGAGAGAGAGAGAGAGAGAGAGAGAGAGAGAGAGAGAGAGAGAGAGAGAGAGAGAGAGCAAAAAAGAAAGAAAAATAGAGAAAGATACATATATACTAAATCTAGCTTTAAACAGAATACGACCTATCCATATAGCACCACACGCAAAAGCAACTATGACCGCAATAATGATAACGCAACCAAAGAACCTAGCATGGGTAATATCTGTACCCGCAAACAAACAAACAAAACACAAGTACAAATACCACTTACTCTCTACAATTCCAAAACATTCTTTTTTCGTTGCATAATAAACTACAAAGAGACGAGAGGATACTTTTGCCGATAAAAAAACTTTCACTGTCCACTGACATTTGAGAAAGAGATATCACACGAACAGGGAATATTCTAGAAGCTTTGCGAGAGAGAGAAAAAAATATTACGAGAAAGAAGGGGTATTATACGTTTTGTTGCGTAATATTCAGTGGGTGGGTAATAGTAATGAATTTATACATTTATGTTTATGCTTTCCTTTATTTTATTTATTTATATTTTTTAAAGGAATGGTTTGTTCAGTTATTCGTATATGAACTTATTACTTACTTCAAAGGAATAAATAAGTGGGCATTTGAACCATATAAATATACACATCACAATCACAATCACAATCACACACACACACACACACACACACACACACACACACACACACACACACACACACACACACACACACACACACACACACACAAACACACACACACACACACACTTTGCCTCTCACGGTTTCTCACTACCCCCCCTCCCCTTCAAATAATAATAATAATAATAATAATAATAATAATAAAAGAAAAAAATATAACAATAACAATAACAATAATAATAAAAATAATAATAATAACAATAATAAAACAAAAACTAAAAGCAACATGCAACACGAACGGCCACATCGCAATAACGTCTCGACACATTCTCACAACAGGCGACTTGGCTGATACAGAACACCAATTTCTTTCTTCCGATAACACTGTGCATGTTATCACTAACTCGATACCTTGCATGATGCCGTCGCGTGCCCCCCTCCCCCCCTTCTCCCTGCTTTCTTCCTCCCCTTCACACTCCACCTCCCTTTCCCTCCGTCTCTCCCTTAACCTCCCTTTCCCTATCCCTCTCCCTCCTCTCCCCTCTCTTTCCCTCTCCTTCCCCTCCCTCTCCCTCCCCCCCTCCCACTCCCCTGTCTTGCTGACGTGAAAAAATACACAAACACACACACACACACACACACGCACACACACACACACAAACACACACACACATATATATATAATAAATAATATAATTAATAATTTCATGTAATAAATCAACAACAACAACAACAAAAACAACAACATAAAACAGGATGAAATCGAGACGAAATCATTCATTTCCGATTTTTTCCTCTCTTTTTTTCTCACTTTTATCTAATTTCTCTCTTACGGTTCGAACTTTTCTTCTATCGCTTAGTGTTTTTTTCTCTCTCTTTCATTCGTATTTTTGTTCTTTGATCTCTTTCTTATTCTTTTATTTTCATTCCTTGGTCTATCACTTATATTTTTGGGTCACTTTCTCTATTTATTTATCTATTTATTTACCCATCTACTTATCCACTTATCTATTCATTCACTTATTCCTCTCCTTTATTTACTTATCCATTTATTTATTCAATTATCCATCCACTTTATTTATTCACCTATTCATCTGCATTATCTGTCCATTCACTCATTCATCCCTTTTCATTACTTACCCATTCATTAACCTTCTTATTCACTCACTCATCCATGTCTTTTACCTAATTACCCATTCATTTACCTATTTACCCTCTCATTCACCTATCTATTCACTCACTCATCCATCTGTTTGATCCATTTAGTCTTTTATTCGTCTTGTGTCTCCTATTAATTTTTATTCATTCTTCTTTATTCACCTTGTGCCTTCTTTACTTATTCCATTTTCCTTTATTCAACTTGTCTCCTCTATTCATCCTATTCCCCTTTATTCACTTCATCTACTCTATTCATCCTAACCTCCTTTATTCACCTCCTTTCCTCTATTCATCCTAATCTCTTTATTCACCTTGCGTCTCCTCTATTCACCCTATCCTCCCGTATTCACCCCCTCTCCTCTATTCACCCTATCCTCCCGTATTCACCCCCTCTCCTCTATTCATCCTATCCTCCCTCATTCACCTCCTCTCCTCTACTCACCCTATCCTCCCATATTCACCCCCTCTCCTCTATTCACCCTATCCTCCCGTATTCACCCCCTCTCCTCTATTCACCCTATCCTCCCGTATTCACCCCCTCTCCTCTATTCACCCTATCCTCCCGTATTCACCCCCTCTCCTCTATTCATCCTATCCTCCCTCATTCACCCCCTCTCCTCTATTCACCCTATCCTCCCTTATTCACCTTGCGTCTCCTTACCTGTTCAGTGTCAAGCGGCGACGGCTGGCGAGACGGTCGAGCGGACAGGTTGATGGCGCCGGCTCCTTCTCCCTCCTCCAACACACCGTCGTCCTGAGAAAGAGAGGGAGAGGGAGAACGTGAGTAAGTGGGTGAGAGGGGGAGGGAAGGAGGAGAAAATTGGGTGAGAGTGGGAGGGAAGGAGGGAAGGAGGAAAGGAGGAGGAAAAAATGGGTGAGAATGGGAGGGAAGGAGGAAAGGAGGAAAAATGGGTGAGAGTGGGAGGGAAGGAGGAAAGGAGAAAAAAAATGGGTGAGAGTGGGAGGGAAAGAGGAAAGGAGAAAAAAAAATGGGTGAGAGTGGGAGGGAAGGAGGAAAGGAGAAAAAAAATGGGTGAGAGTGGGAGGGAAAGAGGAAAGGAGGAAAAAATGGGTGAGAGTGGGAGGGAAGGAGGAAAAAATGGGTGAGAGTGGGAGGGAAGGAGGAAAGGAGAAAAAAAATGGGTGAGAGTGGGAGGGAAAGAGGAAAGGAGGAAAAAATGGGTGAGAGTGGGAGGGAAGGAGGAAAGGAGAAAAAAAATGGGTGAGAGTGGGAGGGAAGGAGGAAAGGAGAAAAAAAATGGGTGAGAGTGGGAGGGAAAGAGGAAAGGAGGAAAAAATGGGTGAGAGTGGGAGGGAGAGGAGAAAATGAGAAAACGGGGAGAAGAAAGGGATGAGTAAGAAGAAAATGAGGGAATAGGGAGAGAAGGAATCAAGTGAGAGGAAAGTGAGAAAATCCGAAAAGGGGAATGAGAGTGAGAAGGGGGGGGGGGATAGATGTGCGCGGGTGAGTACATGAGCATTTGAGTGCAAGCATATCTCTGAAAATATATCATAAGACATCATATAAAATAATACATATGGGGAATAAAAACGAGAAATCGAAATAAAATATCCAAACACCCGCACGTATATGTACGTGTTCGCACTTCCGTACCCGCATGCGTATCGACTTACTTGTGTACGTAGGTGCCTATGTATGTATCACTTTGTACTCAAAGATTCATGCACATGCACCCCCTCCCCCACCCCCCCTCCCTGAGCACTTCGCCAACGACCGCACAAACAAGTACTGCGGGGAGGCCGGCCGTGGGCGCACGCGAAGACGCCGCTCGCAGCTGGAAGTTCCTCGCTCTGTCTTCATGATCCCATGATATTTTACACCCGAGAACTTTCTTCACTCGCTTGCCAATTCTCCCTATTAAGAACACTTCTTCTGCCTCCTCCCTATTTTTTTATGTACACTTTCACAATAGGTTTAGTGGCCGGATAATTGTATTGTAATTGTGTGATAATTACTCAGATGCGCGGTTGGTTTTCACTGTATGAGGAAAGGGGCGTGTATGTGACGTTCATTTGTGTTCAACGGGCTGTGTTCAGTGGACAATGAATGGGGTTAAGTGTCTTTGTTGGTCGTATTGTGTCCATTTGAAAAAGTATAAGGATTCTGAGTCTAATTCTAGTTAAATGTTCATTGTAGTGGGTGTTTGTTGAACAAGAACAATGGTGTCTCATTAGTATTCGATTTGTTGTGTTCATTACAGAGGAATAAAAATTGTGTTTTTGTTACTAGATATGTGTTCATCGTATCGTAAAGTTCAATTCAGAAGAACACATCTAATGTGTCTATTTCCTATTCATGTTGCATGCATTGCATAAGAACGGAAATTAGAAATATTTTTGATCATACACTCTCCATGTAGCAATGTTCACTCCAAAAGAGCAAAGGTTATGCGTCTACTCATCATGTGTAATGTTCACCGCACGGAAAGTTCAACCTCAACAAGCGCAGATTTCGTGTTATGGATTTTGAACTGCGCACTTCAGATATGTTGTTACACGGAACAATATATTTATCAACTTTGCCTTTGTTCTTCGTTGCATATTGTGCAATATAAACAATGCCTGTTAAGAGTTTATTTCTCTACTTTTCACATGTAAGCTAAAAACCTCCTACGAGTATTTATTGCAAAAGATATGTAAATATATCAGCACTTAAGCAAGATGATTTTGTACGTAAGCAACGCTGCTTTTGCAACAATACATTAAACGGCAGCAGCATGATGCCAGTTGCATGCATGTACTCGAAAGCACTTCACTGTTCATGCAATGACGCATGATGTTGCAAATAGACTATTCTCTCTCTTTTCCCCCCTTTTAAATTCATCAAGTTTATTAAATTATTACTTTATTCCCATCGTAAAATGAAAGTGACTCGCCGCATTCCTGGCACCTTCACGCGCCATGCACGTCCGGGAACATGAGTCACTTGTTTCACTGATGATGACGATGATGATGGTGATGACGGTGATGGTGGTACTGGTAGTGGTGGTGAGAGTGATGAACTTGATGTATGATAATGATGATGATAATGTTGATCATAATAAAACAATGATAATAATAATGATGCTAATAATAATAGTCATAATAATGACAAAAATGGCAGTGAAGATGACAATGATAGTAATAATGATAATAGGAATTAAAATATTATTAGGTTACAATACTCCCTTACAGAATGTAATTAACATCGCAATGCAAACTTTGTTTATTTTCTTGCAACCATAACCATAAATAAATTAATAAAAATCCACGGTCTAATGCCTCTGTGTTAAATAGCCCTGTTTGCATATTGCAAGGTAAATCAATATATTTTGTTAGGTCTAAACTGATTTTTAAATGAAAACAAAACAAAATGTTGATACAAGAAAATAAAACAAAACAATATATGTTCATAAAAGAAAACAAAAATGGAGAAACAGTAATAATTATTTTATTTCCCTATTCCTATGTTGAAAAAAAGGAAAACAAAACAAAACAAATCTAAAAGAGAAAAAAAGAGTAATCAGTAATAATGATAACAACAGTAATAATAATGATAATAATAATTATTCCATTTCCCCCCCAAAAATGTGTGTGTGTGTGTGTGTGTGTGTGTGTGTGTGTGTGTGTGTGTGTGTGTGTGTGTGTGTGTGTGTGTGTGTGTGTGTGTGTGTAGAAAAAAAATAATAAATAAAACCAAATAATGAGAGAAGAAAAAAAGTAATCATTCTCTTATTTCCCTATTGCAGGAGTTGCAATGAGTGTTATTCGGGCGGAGATTCTGCAACCTATCACGGAATGAGTGACCGCGCATCTCGAGGCGGTTTAAACAACGGGAAATAATTGCTACCAAAATCTTGTCAGTTGCGGGGATAGAGAGAGAGAGAGAGAGAGAGAGAGAGAGAGAGAGAGAGAGAGAGAGAGAGAGAGAGAGAGAGAGAGAGAGAGAGAGAGATTAATGTATGCATACATGAATGTATCCAATCGCAAAACGCAAACAAAACCCGCTTCCTGCCTCCTAGCAACGGCGTTTACAAACACTGCCCACTTCGTCGCGATCATCTCGTCCGGCGTTAATTGGGAGAAGCCGAGAATCTAAAGAAAAGCACAAATCCAAACAAACTGTCACAAAATCTTGGCCGTTGTCTCGACTCCAGCCAATTAATCCCTAAGGTTCCGCGTTCCTCCGGTATGCATGCTATGGACGCCAACAACGGCAAGAACAAAACAGGGTTAATAGTGATAAGTGACCCTGAAGCGCCCCCTCTTCTTTTCAACTCGCCGGAAGGAGAACGGGTGTGTGTGTGTGTGTGTGTGTGTGTGTGTGTGTGTGTGTGTGTGTGTGTGTGTGTGTGTGTTTAATATGAAAACATACACATGTATGTATCTATCTAAGTATATCTATCTAAATACATATATATACACGTACATATATACACAAACAGACAAAGAGAGTGAGAAAGAAATAGTGCGTTTGGGCCTGACATGAAATCACATCATATCAATACGACATCAATACTCCCCCCCCCCCCCCAAAAAAAAAAAAAAAAAAAAAATCTTGACCACATCTCACGGCCGCCGCTTCGTGTCCATGTTTGTCCGGCAGAGTTTGTAAATATTAATGGCTACAGACTACAGGCTCCGGGAGACCGGTCGTGCAGGCTGTGATAGGTCAATATACAATGTGCAAGCAGAGTGCGTGTCATGAAAAGGTCACACAGGCATACCGGAGGTTGTTTGCCGTTCTGGAACCGTGTCAATGCGTACCCAGTCACTTCAGCTCCCTTACCCCCCCCTTCCTCCCTTACCCCCCTTTCTCTCTTCCCTTGCCGTCCTCTTCTTCCTCCCTCTCTCCCCCTTCCTTCCTTCCTCCCTCCCTTTCCATTCTCTGTCCTCTCCTTCCTTCCTCCCTCCCTCTCCCTTCCCTTCCCTTCCTTTACTTGGGAGGGAGAAAAGGGGAGAGGAATGGCGGTGAGAGGAGAGAGGAAAAGGGAGTAGGAAGAGGGTAAGAGGAGAGGAAACGGAGGGGGGAGAGGAGATAAGAGGAAGGGGGAGGGGATAGTAGTAGTACATACATAATTTGAGGTTGAATGCAGTAACTTTAATTCTTCCTCGTGTTAACCCTTGGGTTGTTGACAATAAAGAAAAAAAAAATCAATAATAAGAAATGGAAATGAAGATGAAGAAAAGTAATAAGAAAAAGATAACAGAAAAGGAAAGAGACATAGGAAATAAAAAAAAAGATAAAAAAGGAGACAAAGGAAATAATTTTCAAAAAATAGAAAAAAAGGAAAAATAAAACAACGGCGTATGTGTCTATTTCAACTCCCCCTCCCCTCCCTCCCCCCCACAGGTCCACCAAGTTCTTGCAGCGCCTCGTTATCAAGGCTTTTGGTAAGGCGCTGCTCGCAACACAATACCTGTAACGGAGGCCTTGTTACGCTCGCACACTCCCGCGCCAGATAAGGTTCCTCTCAGAGACGTTAACTCAGGGCTATTAGGACTCCCTTTTGCCCCCCTCCTCCCCCCCACACCCACTGCCTTCATCCCCCCACCCCCTCGCCATTCTTAAAAGCGCGAGCAAGTGGCTGTTACGTAGTTAGCCGAAATTAGCATGGCCTATTTACGTACACAATCACACAGGAAGTAATTCGTAAGCCATTTACACAATCACTGTGTTTATCGCCTAACCGTCGCCTCTATTTGTTGGGGGGAGGGGGGGGGCGCTCGCTAGTGCGGACCCCCTGAATAAAA